TGGTGGTGGTGGTGGTGGTGTCGGGGGGCGGCGGGTGGCGATGGTGGTGGCGTTGGTTATTGGCATTGGTGGTTGTGGTTGTCTTTGGTTGGAGTCTTTTTTTTGGGTGAGAAGCTCAAAATGTCCCGGCTTGGACAGTGACTCTTTGAGCAAGAGCTGCCATCAATCCCAATGAGATCCTCCAGCCCTGGATCCTCACATCGGCTCTCCGAAAGGATGCTGTGCACAGCTTGGGGTGCACAACGTGCACCAGGACTTCTGATCGAGCCCAGCCTCAACCGTCGCTTGTTGCTGAGACGATGCGGTGATGATTGGGGGGTCTACAGCTGGGCAGGAGTGCAAAGACTTGATCCCCATCAGGCAAGAGGCGCCGCACGGCTCTGTTGAGTCAGCAAACCTCGTCTGACTATGCCTGAGATGGAGCACACGCAGGTGCTGTCGTACCCAGGCACTCACTGGTTTCCAGTCGTTCTCTCAGAGTCAGGGCCTCAAGGGGCTCCAAGCTCCAGCGCCGGCTTCGTCTTGGGCTTTCCGAGGCCGCTGGACCTGGAGATCACGGACGGCCATTCTACGCTCTTGAACATCACCTGCGCTGTGCCCTCCTTGGTGGGGACGGGTGATTCTGCTCGTCCTACGTTCGGGGACAGCTCAGGCCATGGGAGAGAGCCAGGTCCTGAGCTCCCTCCACCTCGGTGGGTCAATCTAACGACTTTTCCGCATTTCGTCTAAACCCTAAACCCTGAACCTCTAAACCTCTAACCTCTAAACCCTAAACCCCTAAGCCCCTAAACCCCTAAACCCTAAGCCCAGGCGGAGCCTGTGCACAGAATGGGACCGGACCGGGGCTTGACTCCTTCCCATGCCGGCAGCCGGACACTTTGCCTCTGCCCTGCCCTCAGGCTCTGCAAACAGTAGAAAGCTTTCTTGCATTGCCTTGGGCAATGCTTGAAGATTATTATTATTGTTAATAATAATAATAATAATAACAATATTCGTAATAATAACAATAATAATAATAGCAATAATAATAATAAGAATAATAATAATAGTAATAATAATAGCAATAAGGGATCAGGTCGCTTCAGCTGCCGGTCCGACCGCTGTCTTGGGCACGGCGGCCTTGGCGACGTCCCGTCGGCGGAGCCCTGGGAACAGAGGCCCCGCTGCAGCAACTTCCTTGGGCAATGCTGGAAGATTATTAGTGTTACAGTTATTATTATTATTATTATTACTATTATTATTATTAGTATGATTATTATGAGAGTTATTATTATTGTTGTTCTAGTTATTATTTTTAATAACAACAATGTTAGAAATAATAGCACGTAATACTAATTTGGGGGATGTATCGGGTGGTTTGCTGTCACTGGCCGTGCTGCCGAAAGGAGATTGCGGAGCTGAGTGGCTTAACTTCGCAGATGAAGGCGCAAGCCCTGCCCCTACCCTTGGGCATGTAGCACGGTCCGCTTCTGTGAGGCTGTGCCGTCGCCTGCGAATGATGCAGAGCTCCGGGGGATTTGCGATCGCCCGTATCTCAGGAAGTCCTGTTCGCGATACCGGCCTCATTATTATTACTATTATTATTATTATTCTAGTTATAATAATAATAATTATTATTACTATACTAATTATTATTATTATGATTATTACAGTTATGACTATGATTATTATTGTTATTATTGCATGCGGAAAGCTCCGAGGCCTCGAAACTGCAGAGGGCAGCTTCCACAGCCTGCCCTGCAAGGACCCTGCTGGAAAGTGCTTGAAAAGCTCGAAGTGTTGCTTTTGTCCCATGTGGTGCCGTGCCCTCCTTAGTCGGCTCTTGGCATGCCGGGACACTTTTGGCAGGCCATGGAGTGCACGGACCAGAATTATGCACGTGGCCTCGTCCCGGGAGAGCATGAGCTCTGCATCTGCGAGGTCGGGGTTCCATGTAGCGGTATGGACAGGTTTCTGAGCGGTTCTGCTGCTCCGTGCGACTCGGATATTGGTTGCATTGACAAGGGCGAGGGGGCCTTGCTGTTTCGGCAGATTTCCGCGGTGGTCAGGCGGCGGCCGTGACGGCGCTGCACGACTGCAAGGGCTGGCATCGCTTGGGCCATCTGGAAATCTTCGGACCGTATCCCCTCACCGACGTGGTGCATGGGACCTGGCCTCAGAACTCTGAGTCCACGTGATAGCACGAGGGACGCTCAGGGGTTGGTGTGATTTTCTGGATGCATGTGGCTGTGCTGAGGTCCGTCGGCCTCCTAACCAAGGTTACCTTGGCCGGCCTGGGCTTCAGCCCCGAGGAGCTGTGTTGGTCGTGTCTTCGTGTTCGGCGACACTTCAGCGCCCTTGCAGCGGCGATTTGGACCTCGCATGCAGACACAGCTGGCGACTTTTTGGCAGGACAGCCTTATCTCGGTGCCCGTCACCTCGGGAAGCATCGATCCAGGACAGTTTCGAAATCCCTTTGTAGGTCCCAGCTGCTAAACACTCAATCTGCAACAGCTTGCGGACCGTTCTGAGCGATGCACAAGAGCTTCAAACGCCTTCTTTTCTGCGGGATGCACAACAGCCCTCTGCAAAAGGGTCTCAGGCCACAAATCCCAACAGTCAACGGCTAAGTCTTCATTGCTGCTGCGATACTTCTACTAAGGCGGCGATGACCACTGACCTCAATTTACTCACACCACCAGGACCACCACCACCGCCATACCGCACAGACGACGACGAAGACCAAGACCAAGACCAAGACCAAGACCAAGACCAAGACCAAGACCAAGACCAAGACCAAGACCAAGACCAAGACCAAGACCACGACCACGACCCCGACCCCGACCCCGACCCCGACCCCGATCCCGACCCCGACCACGACCACGACCACGACCAAGACCAAGACCAAGACCAAGACGATGACGACGACAGGCAACGAAGCCGGCGACGAGATCGTGCTGGTTGCTGCTGCCGCTGCTGTTGCCATCTTCTGCCACTACTGCTGCGGCCAGGGTGGCAATGCGACAACGACAAGAGTCATCATCATAGCATCATGTTTCATCATCCTCAACATCGACGTCGCAGCATCTGTATGGATAAGATGATGAGTATGATCATGCTGACCAACGCCTTGATAACCACAACCAGTACTAGAGCTAGTAGAACACCAGCACCGATGACCTTTTGCACATGCCCGAGGAACTGCCTGCATCGGAAACGGCCGACTTCTCCCCGCGCAGAGCACCTTGCATAGTCCCACGGTGCCTTCCTCAGTTCTGTTAGAACATGTGGTTGGACATGCTCCGGGTGAACTGGTGCCAGAAGCCCACTGCTGCCGAGGAATCGACTGCAACTTCGTTGCAATTCGAGGTGCCATTTGGTGAGGCTGCTTGGAGTAAACGTCCAATTGACTTCCTCCTGCTTCAATTTATGATTTGCTTGCCTGCACTTGCTAGGGAACACATGCTGCAGCCTTAGTACTTAGTTTGAAGCCCGAGGATCTTGGCCGTGATCTGCACTACTACACCAAGGCCTTGTGTTGGCTACCCGCGGGGAACGCGAAGCTTCCTCATTATGCACGAAACTGAGCGTAGCTAGCTTCAGAAAACATGACAAGCTTGTTCACGGAAGCAGTTAGGTTGGAAGTGCTGATATCTTTGGCGAGAGGCAGGGTTGCCTGCATCTGCAGCCAGAGATCATGTGCAAGCTGTGTCGGCATTCGACTGCGGAAGGCCTAAACCAAAACTTGCATTCTTTAACAATTGACTCCCAACCAGTAAGCCGATCTGGCAGAAGTGTGTGCTCTGTGCGCAGCAATCAGTTCCTGCGTGCGATTCAGGACAGATTTCAATGGCTGTTTAGTGCACGCCTGATTTTCAACCTCTGGCATTTTGTCTTTTCGTTTCGCTTTGTGTCTGCAGTGGTGGTCTGAGTTGTGAGGTCGGGCCGTGGCGTCATCGAACGCATTGCTCCGCTACTTGCGGCATGGGGAGTGAGCTGTGGCAGCGCCAGGCCTCAGCAGATACCCACATTTGTGACTAGTGCAGGAACTGTGTCAAGAGACGTGTGAACCGGGCAGATCGTGGGCATGCTCAACAACGACGCGCAATGCCCAGAGCTTGAGGCCAATCCCGGTGCTCAGTGCATCGTGACGAAAGACTCCGGCATTGCCAGGAGGAGCGGCCCTGCATGGGCCCTCCGTGTGCTGCGACAGTGGACGACTGGCACACCGACCCGGAAAGGCAGTTGCAGTTTGGGACGTTGGCTGTAAGGGACTCGAATGCAAGTGATGTTTGAGGCCTTTCGCAAGCGCACCTTTTGAGCTACATCTCACCGGAAGCAACCTGCCGGGGCCCTTCAATCCGGGGTGAACATCGGGGTCAGATGTCGGAGTTAGACCAAGGACCGGCGACTTGCAGGGAGTCCTCATCAAGGATGAAGGTCCTCGTATTCATCCTGTTACGGAGAATCCGACTCCGATTTCCTGCAGGCGCAGCTTCGGGCCCGGCTGATGGGCAAGGCATGAAGCCAGAAAAGCCGGTTCCATGACGTCAACGCTCTTCCGTGGTTGTTCACTGTTCAGTTTTACCATGCCGGGCAGTGCCTGCATTAGATCATGTCAGACCTTGATTCCATCTTGTAGTGGCCGAAGAGATCTTGGCGCTGACAGGTCTTTGCCGCTACGACTCTACGATCGTCGCGAGGGGGTGACGGGCCGAGCAAGGTGATCCTCAACCGACAAGTGCGGCGAATGTTGAAGACAAGCACGCATGCATCCGTGTGCTGCTCAGGGTATGCTCCACTGCCCCTGGCCTCACAGAGGCTACAGACCAGGCTGGAAGCGGTTGAAAATGCTTGAATTGGCAATCCATGTGGAAAGTGGCAGTGTCTGGCTGTGCAAAGCGCTGCGTTGCGAGTGTTGCACGAGTATTGCACGGCTGCGGCTACAGCCGCAAACCGTTGTCTCTAGGCTGAGAATCGCCACGTCACGCTCATGCAGCTTTTCTCGCGAAACAGGTTTGCAAGTTTGAAGACGGGCCGCCTGACGATGGCACGCACCAGGCCGCAACTTGCGCCGGCTAGCGGCAGTAGCAGTACTGGTTGACCGCCTGGCAGGTGTGCTTGTGCATGGCCGCCTCGGACGGAAGGCGTGAGCCCAGTTGAAGCTGGCGCTCCAAGTTTGCCAAGCCTGGTCTGCCTTCACGTGCGATTTGCAGTCCTTGTCGCGTTCCGTTCTTGTCGGTGTCCTCGGAGTGAGTGTAGCTTGCAGCTTGAATCTGAGAAATGCGGGGGGAGGTGCTTGGCTTTCCTTCCAGCCCTGGGCAGCATTAGCATCCAGCTCGGCGTTCTACCCTTGCTTGACGAGGCCAGGCTGCAAGCTTGAGCAGGGACTGGGCCTTCGAGCCTTCGCTGGGTCATGACGGAACGAAAAGCACGATGTCGTCCTCATCGTCACGAGTGCGCCTGCCACCATTATCACCATCATCATCGTCATCATCATCGTCACCATCACCATGGTCACCATCATCGCCATCATCATCATCATCACCACCACCACCACCACCACCATCACCATCAACATCACCACAATCATCATGATCACCATCATCACCATCACGACGATCACCACCCTCACCATTATCATCATCATCATCATCATCATCATCATCATCATGATCTTGTTTGTGTTCAAAGGGCTTGGCTCGACGGTCGCGAGGAGAGCCAATCTGCAGCGGGCGTGGCCGTGGCAGTTGTCGCAGTGCTTGTTTGCCTCTGTGTCGCACCGCTGCTGGCGTGTCCGGCTCGGACCTCACGCTGGAGCCAGAACTTCAGACATTGAAAGCTACTTTGTCAAGTTGCTCCCAGGGTCTTCGAAGGAAGCTCATTAAAAGAATCAAGAGGAGATGCTGTCGCCAGCCAGACTCCAAGGCTGGCCTGGCAGGGAGTGTTGGGGTCTTTGGGTGACTTTGGCAAGTCTGACTTGTCTTGAAGGTGTCGGCGATTCCGCCTGAGCAGAAGGGAGAAGATGCCACGGCCCAGCTGCTCCGAAATCGTGTATGTCAGCGTGGCATAGATACATACTGTACGGCAGATGCTGAGCTTACCAGATGCAAAGGTTGAAGACATAGACGGGGACGACGAGGTAGTGAGCAAAGAGGCTGTCGGCCTTGCCATGGTACGATACACAATATGCTGCCTTGTGCGAGTGTCGTGTCGTAAATCCAGTTAGCTTTGGTGAGCAGGGTGGAGGACAGCCGGAGGAAGAACCGTCTCCGACTCATTCAAGCATGCATGTGCCATGTGCATGGCAGTTTGAAAGTGCCTGACTTGACTGGGACATCTCAGGCAGGGCGAGCTGACCCCGCGCACGGACATCGACGGACTAAATGAGCAGATGGAGGCCTCCAGCAGTCTCGCCTTACGAGACTTCAGCACGCAGCCTGACTGTCACAGGCACCGCCCACTCCGGATCATTCTGAAAAAGAGAGGCCTCAGTGCCTCCATGTGCCTCCCAGCATCTGCTTGGAAGTAGCCATGGGCCATGGAGCCGAGAGCCCTAAGCTCTTGCGACGGCAGGTCCCCTGGGTTAGCAGCTTTCGAGGACGGACTTGGAATCGCTTCGTGCCGTGGGGGTTCCGGATGTTGCCAGGACATTCCGCAGCAGCCTGCATCTCAGCAGAAACATGGCTTCCCAGACTGCTGCGTAGCTGCTTGTGAGGCCTGAAATCATCGAGCCTCCACCAGACAACAGGCGGCTCACTTAGCAAGCCCAAATTTTTCCTGGCTTTGATGAGAACGGTCGAGCCAGGGACCAAGCAGATGCCGAGGAAAGTGAGGCAACCTGGAGTTGACTCGTTTTGAGGGGTTTAGGGTTTAGGGCTTAGGGGTTAGGGCTTAGGGTTTAGGGTCATGGTCTCTTGGTGCTTGCAGGCTTCTCTGACCAGCCCGCCGTCCACAACGAAGTCCGCAGCCCAGCAGTCGCAACGCGTGCTACCGGAACACCCCGTGTGGCAACTGTTGCTGCAGGTCCCGCAAGGACCGGAAGAAGCGCAAGGAAGAGCGTAGAAAGGCCAAGGAGGCACCAATCATATCGACCCCCAGACTTGGTGGCTGCAGCGCCACTGGAGCTTTGGCTTTGCAGGAGAAGAAACAAGCGGAGGCACTCGCAGAAGGCAAGCGCTGTTGACAGCTGCACGCACTCGGTTCGAGGAGTTCAACAGATTTTTTTTGTCAAGGCCCTAGTCAAGGCTCCTCGCACTTGCAGCTGCCGCGACCGCTACCGCCACCTCCACTGCGGTCACCTCCGAAAAAAACTTTGCCGGGAGCCCGGCCTTGAAGACGGTCGCAGGGTTGGTTAAGCTGTATTCCGGGCCACGCACTTGCAAGCAGACAAGGCCTGCCCTGCCCTTCAATCCTTCCTTCCACAGCGAAGGCGCCACTCACACCATGCTCTATGCTGCTCGGTAGACCTCCAAACCATGCCACTGGTCCCTTCTGTTTCCAAAGTCTCAGCTGGCCCGCAGGCAGCGCCAGAAGCCCTGCGGCTGCCAGGATCTTAGGCTCAGTGACGGAGCTCGGCATGGGCTTGCAAGCACGCGTCGTCATTGTGACGCAGGGAGCATTTGGCCAGGTCGAAGCCCTGGCAAAGGCTACAGCCATTCTGCAAGCTGCACAGCGCAGCCGGCCTTTTGAATCTTGCTGTCGATGGAAACCAGGTCGTTGCTTTGAACTGAAGCCACGGAGCCAGATTTCGGACCACTTTTGCCCTGTGATGGCAGGAAATTCAAGAATCTCACTGCTGCGCAGGTCGGCCGAGAAATTTGTCAGAGACCGATCGCCATGGAGAGATATGGAGAGGAGACGTTGGAATGGCAGGATGATGCGGGCCTGAGCGCATACGGGCTAAGCATGAAGGCTTTGTCTAAAGCCATTGCTGGCCGAGATGTTGAGGCCATGGGGCCATGTATTCCGGGCCCAGAGTGCGGCTTCGGGGTTGTCTTAAATGAGTGGCAGGTTCTGGAGAAGGCACTGCAGGATGCCGAAGCAGCGGGAGTGGGGATTGAGCTGCTGGAGATGCTCAGCTGCAGTTCTCAGCTCAAATGTTCCTGGAACTTTGTTATCTCTTCTATCCGAATGGTTGGTGAACCGACGGTGTCTGGAAGTTTTGCGAGGAAGGCCAGGGAGCGCCTGCGCGAGCTGCAGGACGGACTCGGGGGGCTCGGGGCCACCTTCTTATGCAGACACGGGCATAGGCGCTCTTGGTGTAATGGAAGGGCGCCACAGGGTGGAAGCCAAACACTATGATGGCGTCGTCTGTGCCATCACGAGAATCATCCTTGTGCTACTCCTGTGGCTGCAACGCTTTCACCTCGCAAGCTGGGTGGAAGCAAAGGCTGTTCTGTGATTGGAAGCCTGCGCCAGCCAGGGTGTCTGTGGAGTCTGCACAGCGGGCATATCGTCGTTGATGGTGCCAGGTGTAGGCAGCAACACGGAGCTCCAAGTTCGGGGTTGCTGGCCGGTCCTACGATACTTGCTACAGTAGGATACCTGCGACCCACAGCTTGTCGAAACAGCGATCATTCCCCGCCCCGATGGAGCTCCCCCGGCCCAGCTCTCGTGTGGCAGCTGCCCCCCATTGAGGACGCAGAAGCTCGTTCAGATGCAATCGCACATCTCCAGGTTCGGCCGTCGCGTTAGAGTCGGGAGTTGGAAGCACGAAGACTCATGAAGACGACTGGCAAGCATTCCAACATCAGAGACGAGTCGCTTCAGCGGATTGTACGGTGCAGGCAGCCACGGCCGCGGCCGATGCGGCGCTGCACAGCACGAC